CTTGTCAGTCTTGAAGGTTGATAGTTTTTGAATTTGAGAGCGAGTCACAATAAAACTTTGTATGAAACATCCAGGTCACGTTTATTCTTGAATTCAGTGGGTTCAGGGAAATGAGTGTAGAGAAGGACATCAGGGAGCCAGGTAACAAAGCCCAGCCTAGGGCTGATTTGAATCTGCTCTCATTTCTGTCAATAGCCTGTGGTTACTATGGAAAAATACACTTACTTAGTGAAGTAACTCTCAGCAATGGAATTAAGGAGTTCTCAGTTAGACATGGAGAGGGCATAAAGCCAAGCTCTTCATGAAGTCAAGCCAACCTATGCATCTACTTTCTGATGAGATACTTCCTATCAGAATCATTTCAAATATGTCAGCACTTTTGGGGCATTTTGACAAGCTGTCGAGCAAGTCATTGGCAGAGCCAGTGGAGCATTGAGGCTAATTTCTATGTTTACACATATGGTGCTTCTTTGTAGCTAGATGAAGACTCAATGCATAGGAAGCCAGCAGATCATATGACAGACCTGTGATCCAGGGAGAAAAGGATGAAAGAGATTTCATTATTCAGTCTCATCTCTTAATGTTTATGTCACTCTGCAGGTGAGGGAGCTATTCACATGCCTGGAAATTCTTTTATTTTTCACTTGAGCTAGACCAGGCAGTCTTAAGGACCAAATGAATAGCTCAGTCTTTCTTAGCTTTTCCTGTAATTACTTCCTCAGTGGTTGCATATGCAGACAGTGAGAAGGTTCAGGAAAAAGCCAGGAGATTGCCTTTCAGCCCTAGGGAAGATGCTTGTTTTTATGATATTGGTTTTTATGATTTGTGTTTGTTCCACTCACCATGGAACTTTTTCCCTTGCAGGCTAAAATTAAAAACCATAAGGAGTACATATAGCTGTTGCAGGCTTCTGCTTACCTATATAGGTGCAAAAGATGCACTGAAGTAGGCTTCTTCAGTCTCTGGGTGTTGTTTTGTTAATATTTGACACTTAGGAGAGAAAGTGAAGATCTCACTCTAGCTGTATGATTTCTATGCAGTGATTACATGTGTTGTTTTACACATGTTTAAGGACAAGTGGCTAATTTCAGAGAGAATGCTAGAAATACTTGTCATTCATATATCTTTATCCTGTGTGTTCACGGTAGGATGCCAGGCTCATGTATACCAGCCTTCAGTAATAGCACTCTTTGGACATCAGTGCCTTACTCTTGATTAACTGTGCTTGTCAATGAGCACTGAATTCTATGTGTATAAATAATGTCAGATTGGCCTGTCTTAACATTACCGACTTACTCATTTCAGTCTCAGACTTTGGCTGTGTTCAGGTGGGAAGGCAGATGTGCCTCTGATCCACCTTTATACTTCCCTTGATGGCAGCCAAGCGTTGAATCAACACGTGGAATGAATGAGAGTAGCCAGAGGGCTGTGTTAATTTATCCTGTCGCAGGCGACAGTGGCTCTTGGCCAGGATCACTAGAGCACACTGCATGCAACCCTTACCTAAGCAAGGCCTGACACGGCTTCTACAATTGCCAGCCCAGTTGTCCCTCTTGGTTAGCTATAAGGCTGCTCTAGCAGTAGAAAATAGTGTGAGGTGGGTTAAAGATCTAACCTATATCCACTCATTGAAATACAGCTTCTCCATATCACTTTTGAATTTCTCAAACATCAGAATCTTCAGTTCTGATCCTGAATCTCTTGCAGCTGTGAGTGTATTATGATTCCTCTAAGGGTAAAGTCATTTTAAAAGGTTTTAATCTTTTCCTGCCTGCTGCCATAAGTTTCCATCCCTTCATGGTTTTGTCAGCTCAGCTGATGGCAAAGCAGCCTCTTAGCATGGAACTGTGATATGATCCAGGCTAGAGACATATCTATTTAAAGACTTGTTTCTTTGTTGTTGTTGTTGTAATCTGGATAATATAATGGCTCTGTTATCCATCACTTCCAGATGTTTGAATTTACGTAACTGAGGAGGCAATGATGTGGTAAAAGGGCAGAAATGAGCAAAAGTGGGAGAAGGAAAAGCTGAAACCCTTTTCCAGCTAAAAAGCTAGTTTGAGTACAAGGTAAAGCCTTCAGTGTCATATGAAATAACCTGCGTTTCTCAGATGCCTGGAGAGACTGTAAAGCAAGTCACATGACTGTTCATAAGCATTCCAAAATTAGAGGCACCTTCCAAAATATTGGAGTAAAGACAGCTGGTTTTAATTATATATTTTGTCAAAAATGTTGTGAAGTTCTCTTCTGCTGATAAGGTACTGCTGTGTGATACGCAGATCAGTATAAGACCATTGCCTCGAAGCACCATTTCTGTATCTGCACAGTGAGTAGTTTAAGGGCACATGCTTTCAACAGCTCCCCAAGTCCTGTCTACACAGCCTGTTAGATCCCTGTGAGGATATTTTTGCAGTATAAGGTGATTCTTATCGTGGAATAAGGCCTTCTGATGTTTCTTTTCCTCTCTTAATGCTAGAAGTTACACAACCAAGAGTCTAAAGTTCAGAGGTGAGGTCTAGCGGGAGTGAGAACTTTGGTTCAGGAGGAAGTCCTCTCCAAGTAAGGAAGGGTGTGAATTTAAAGCACCATATTGTTCCATTGTACTTTTTAACCCTCAGGAGAAGTACCACAGTGGTTGAGTGTAGTCTGCTTCAGAAGTGGGTTCAGATAAACTCTAGAAAGGCTGTTTTAACAAGCTGCTGAGCAAATCAGGCAATGTTTCTGCCACCAACAGGAGAAATTTTGCTGCCTCCTCCTCCTCTTCGTCTGGTTTGTGTGGACATGCCTTCTCCCTTTGTATTGGCTCTGATACTCACAGGACCCTTCTGTGAGCAGATTCAACTTGCTAGGTTGGTAGGAAACTGTCCACATTTTGTTCTTCTGGGTTAGTTTTCTCCTAGGTTAATGAGTTGATTTAGCTCAGGTAGCTCATGTCTGTTAGCTCATGTCTGTTGGCTGGCAGAGCCAGTGCCAAGTATGCAGACAAGCTGTTTTGCCAGGATGAGGAAGCAAACAGTGGGGTGGAATAGTAGGCTCAGCCTTGTTCATCATAATGATTCGTTAGGTCAGTTCGCCCCGTGTCAAGGAACACTTGGCAGATAATAGGGGAGGTAGCACAGAACAACTGCTGTGCTCTAGTTTGGGACTGCTAAAACCAAAGAGAGTGGAAGTGCAGAGTAAGAGCTGGCTCTTCCTGTAATGGCTGTAAATCACTACAGATCTGCTGAAATAATGCTGATGCTCACTGCCAAAGAGAGTGGTCCTAAGTGTTCCAGCTGTGAGGGTTATCCAAAGCTGCTCAGGGATCCAGGTGCTGCTGCTGATCAGTCTTAGTCTGAAGAAAGGTATCTGCTAATCGATTTCTGGGAAGTATTGATTCAGCAAGACGGTGGGTTATTCTAATTGTCGTTAATGGATGGAATTATATCGAGGGCTCACATGAGCAAACACATGATGCAGAAGGAATTTTTTTGCTTTGTCATTCTGTCTGTGGCAGATTGCCTGAAACAACAAGGGAGAGGCCCCTAACATTAACAACCTGCCCACAAAACTCTCCTAAGTTTCTGCCAGGGGTTGTGATTGCCTTTGGGGTTTGGGGCTATGCTAAAGCTATGAGTGTCTACCAGAGATCTACCTGTAGATAATTAGAGATATTTATATAAACGTCTGTGTTGTCTACTACTAGATCTTTATGTGAACATTCCTGAGGTTGTTGAAACTTGTTACAGAAATAAAGTATAAGGCTTCAGGTGCTTTGGGTACCCACAGGAGTGTAGTTTTGGTACTGTATTGAAGAAAAGATTCCTCCCTCGTGCAGATTGTGACTAGTGTTCAAAACCTGTGTTCTTGCTTATCCCAGGTGTGCGTGCGTGCCAGGGTGGGGGGGGATGTATACACATGTGAAGTCATGTATGCTTTCCACAAGCTAGAATAGGCTTAGAATTATGCATCACTAATACTGCTATGTAATTATTGAATAACTGTTTTGATCTTTGAAACCCTTTCCCAACATCAGCAAATTTCTTTCCCCAATAACTTTGTGAGATAGAAGAATTTTATCAACAAGTTTCGGAGAGGGAAACTGAGACGACAAGGTTACGGACCAGTTTTCGGTGACTCTGCCCTTTTGTGCTTGTGTGCGTATGTGTGTGAATGCTTTTCAGATTTGTGGGCTCACTGCCTAAGGAATGTACGCCCTCTCAGTATAGCTGTTTGTCTAAGTATGTGCATGTGTCAGTCAGAGTTGGCTCAATTAATGCTGGTTGTGCAGCACAAAATATGTATATGATTAAGAATGCCCTCCAGTCATGTAGCAGGTTTTCTTATCTTTTCTTTCTTGTCAAATCAAGTCTCACTGGAACTGGAGATGTTAATTTTTTCTTTCCACTAGTACATTTTACCTTTTCTGTTGGAGATATGTATATATTTTACAATTATGTCCAGTGAAGAAACACAGATCTTTCTCAGACTTTTGAAAACATTTATTTAGACAATTTACGAGTATGAGTAATACCTTGTGGCAGAAAAAAACTGGGATTTTTTGGCATGAAAAATACACTTTTATCATGTCAGTAAAATAACCTGAAAGAAGAGTTTCCAGGGAACCAACTGAAGGAGTAACATCAAAACTTCTAATTGGTTTTAAAAGGTATTAGATTAAAAAAAAATGAAAGCACAATAGCATTAAAAAAGCACTTTCTGGATGAAAAAAAGTAAAAATCATAATCTGCTTTTAAGATGGAATCTTCACGCTTAGCCACAGCAACTCTTATTTCCTTACTTTGTTCCGAGCGTACTGTTGGATTGGCAAAACGTACTGCAGTCCCAGCCAATCCTCCTATGGGATTTCATTAAAGAGGAAAATATAGCAAGTCATCCTAACGTTGCAAATAACTCACCAGTTGCCTTAGGAAACGCTGCCCTGAGACAAGCATGCTGCTGAGGAGGAAGAGCGTGAGCGGCGAAGGCCACTCCCCCGGCCAATCTCACTTCAGGAGTGCAGCCTTCATAAAGGACCTCCCCGCAGACGCTTCATTCTTTTATCCTTTATTTCACAGAGAATGCACAGAAGCTGCAAGAAGTGCCCTGTGAACCAACCACAGAAACGTCCCAGCCACTTGTTTTTGTACAAGAGAAGCAAATAGGAGATCATGAGAAAACTTTAAAGGTAGGGGGAGAAACACTTTTTAACTCTATAATAATTTAGTTTTGACATTAAAAATAAGAATGTAGACTTTCTTTTAACAAATTGTAGTACTTTGGAGCGGAAAGGAGGAGATCCATTCTCAGGATGGCGTCACAGTCCTGGTTCACGGGTCATGAACAAGTTTCTCCTGTTAAATGGGAAACAGAGCTTCTCAAGATCCATGCTGCTTTGGAGTAGGTTTCTAGGAGATGGATTCAGAGGAAAGGTTATAATCTACTTAGTGTGATCTAAAACTTACAGTGTATTTTCATGAAGAATGAGTATGCCGAACTAATGAAGAGGAACCAAATAGTAGGGAACCGTAGATGAAATGGTACGTGCATCATGAAGCTGCTGCTCTTGGTGGTTGTAGCTAATGGCTGTGCAGGAGCTAATTTGTGCCCACCCTTCAACTTCACACTGCCCTGTTGCCACTGAGCAAACAAGCAGGTGTGTTTTGGAAAAGAACAGCACGCTTTCTCTAGGTTTATATCCATAAACATGAATAAGGTTGAAACTGCATATTGTAAAACACTTATTGTAATACGGTAAGTGTTTCTTTTTCAGTCTTTTTTGGATTGCAGTGAGAAGTTTGAGCCTGGCCAATGGCCGTGATGCAAAAAGCAGAACTGAGCACAAACTTGTATTCAAGGGTAGGGGCCTATTATTGGTGTTGCGGAGGGGAAAGAGAAGAGGAAGGAAGACTGGAGGTATTTCTGGATGTGTTCACAGCCACAGATGTTTTCTAGGTTTCGTTTGTAGTATTAGCATGCTACCCAGAGTTAGGAAAGACTAATACAGCTGTAGCTTTCTACAGTTAGATGCTCAATCTGAACTTCTGCTGACATTGCAATGTAATTCAATGGAGCGGTGGAGGATTTTTGTCAGTGATGTGGCTACATTGGCAGCAGTCTCTAATGTAGACCCAGTTAAACTACAGAGAGGGAGTAATTTAACCCAAGAGAAAGGAAACAGTAGAATGGGTTGAGCACAAAAGACTGCTTAATGCAAAATGAAGGTAAGCTGAAAAGAGAGAGAGAATTTACCTGGTTTCTTTAATTTTATTTACCATAGCCATCCCCAGTAGTACTGAATCAAGTACCTAGTTAGGCAGATAGAAACACTTGAATAAAAGTGACTGGATTTGTAAAGTGACTAGCTGCTTAATGTTTATTTATGTACTTTTTAGTTTAAAAAGTTGTATTGTGACCTCAGTTAATGCTCACTGGTTTACATCAGCTGAGGAATCTGCACTTTACTCACTCCAAAGTGTTGTCCCACAGTTTGGAAGGCACTGAGAATTTTGCCAGGCCTTAAGGTCTGAAGCCTGGATAAATCGGAGCTCCACAAAGTGAGTACAAAGACTGATCTGAGAAAGGCTATGCAAAGATTAATGGCATATGCTTTGTGGCATAGGGCTATCAAAATGCATTTTTGGACTTAACGGGGTGTTTTTCTATCATAGTAGTTATGAAATCCAAAAAAAGTGAACCCCTGGTGAAACTCCAGTGATCTCATTTGATCCATTTGATTCAAGGTTAGTTACAATGCTAAACCAAAGCAAAAATGCACAAAGGCAGGTTACAAAAGTGTAGTTTTCTAGAAATTGTTTTCTTCATGCAGTTCTGTTCATTCAGTTGGTAAAGCAGGTAATTGCAGATTATTACAGTGGTGTATATGTGGCTGTATTTTCCTACTAATATATGCAGGAGAAGGGAAAAAACACTAATTAGGGAAGGCCGGGGCAGATGAAAAGAATAAAATAAATTAATGGAATGCCTGTGTCGGCATGTAAGTATCTCATCCTGGAGTACAATATGAGGAGGCACTGAAGGTGTGGTGATGTGGAAAACCAAGCTGTGCAAAGGAAACTCAAGCCTCCAAAGAACAAGAAAGTTCGTAGTTCAGTATATAATTGGTACTGAGCTATCCAAGAATGAATTAGGAAGATGAAACCTGAAGGTGCTAATTAAGAGTAGAGCTCAGGAAATCCAGATGCACCTATATTCCCCTGTCACAATATTTGCTACTGAAAACACTCATTTTTGAGCACCATGGGTAATGTTTTAATATTCCCTAACCCCTTTTATTTGCTCTCTTCAGGCACATAAAGAAGTCAAGCTTCAGAGACTGTTGAGAATGAATGGGCGGCTGTCCTATTCCTATGACTATGACCTCATTGTCATTGGTGGGGGCTCAGGTGGCCTGGCTGCTGCCAAGGTATGAGAAAAAAGTTATGATTTTCTTGTAAGTAGGTGAGTGACATCCTGATCAGCTTGGATCTGCATATCTTTAACGCTGTAGAGGCAGGAGTTCTTTTGAAGTTAACCCCAATAATATTAATTTCCATTTGTTCTGAAGAAGAAAAATATAAAAACGTCATGGGCTATATCTCAGTAAAGTGAAACTTGGTTCCCCTGTATCCCCACTAGTGGGAGATGATGTTGTTAGAAAGCAGCATGTAGGTATCGCAACAGTGGCTTTTATCAGTAGTTGAAGTAAAATTAAAATTCAACTAATAATAGAAAAAGCTTTTAAAACGTTTCAAAATTATCATCAAAAGGTTTTTAGTTTTGTCTGATGTTAATATCTGCCCAGAAATAACTGGGTATATTGTTTTCATTTCTGATGGTGCTTTTCAATGGGGGAGATTTTATATAATTTGAGAGCCTACACAGTTAAATAAATGGAGACTTTACCTATGACTTAAGTAGTTAGGCTCTCACCCTTCGTTTCTAGGGTCTGGTACTTCCTGCCTGTAGCCAAGTAATTGATGATTTTTGTCTGGGCTGTTCCTTTTAGAAACATCCCTAGAATTGATTGCAAGAATCTATAGTAGTGCAGAATTTACCAGCTCTCTTCAGCTCTGAGAATTATGATTACCCCAAATATCTGAAATTTGCTGAAAAGTAGTGTAATTCAGTAACTCTCCCTTACATCAGTAGTTAGGCACATTTTACCTCTTCTTGCTGTAGCAGAATTTATCTATTTAGAAGTGAACTGGGCATTTCTAGGAATAAGTAACTATTTCATTGCTCAAGATCTGAAACTGGATTGTTTCTCCAGACAGGAGACATTCCTGTTGTCCTTGAGAAATAAAGGAGGTAAATCAGGAGTGAAAGAAAATGAGGAGAAAATATTTCATTGTAGCGTTGGATTTAAAGCTTGGCCCTTTGGGAGAACTTTTGTTACAATGGGAGAGCACAGAGCTGGGTAGCAGATTGTAATGTGCAATATGTCCATAATCTATTCTGGTAGGTTGCTGGTTTCCCATTGATAGGGGCACTATTGTCATGGCCTAGGATGAAATTTAAAATCTAGAAAAATTAGGAGAACCCTCAAAGATAAGTAGACGCACATTTTGAGGAGGTGGAGATGTTTTAAGACAAAAGAGAGTAACAGCAGTAGGAAAAAAGTAATAGGGTGCAGTAATTGCATTAAGGAGACTGCTTTGCCTTATTTTATACGTATGTCAGGTCGTGAGGCTACAGCAGTGATGTTAATTGTGTCATTTCTCAGCTCTGGGGCAGAAAAGGTGTATAGCTAGGAAGATAAGTTACCTTATTCCTTCAGTTTAGAAAGCAGACAAGAGTTTGCAGAGTAGAGCACAGGATGGTAGATCAATAAAATCTGCATCACTATCAGTAGTAACGTATGTATTTCAAGTTGGTTTCATTAAGTTGAAGTGAAACTGTCTTACATATATAAACTTCTGCTTCATACTTAGTTTTTTTTTGTTTGTTTGTTTTAAGTGAAACAACATAGATGGCTTTAAAAAGCAAAGCAAAGCAAAGCAAAACCCTAATCACACAGCTTTATACCAAGTTCCAGATACCTACACTCAAGTTTGCTTCGGCTTAGCTAGGTTGATCAAATGCATGTCTTGCGTTATGACACATGCAGCTTTGTGTCAGATGTCTTCCCTTCCCTGTCTATCCTTAGAGCTTGTTATTTTGGGGGCCTGTCTCCACAGTGAGTGCAAGCAGTCTAACTACAGACCCAACCCAAAGCACCAGGCCGCCAATGTCCACTCACACAAAACAGCTCCAGCCCTAAACGATATTGCTGTGTTCATGCCGTGCTGTCCTGAATCCAGGAAGGTTTGAAAGCCTGTGGGGCAGGGTTTGTTAGTGTGGGCATATCACTGTGCAGAAGTATTTATATCTGTTTGTGATCTTTACTGATGTGGTACAGTGCTGCACTGTATTATGTCAACATGTAGCACCTCAGGGCTAATGTTCATTGGGAATCTGTACATTCTGGTTAGTCAGCTAACACTGGTAAAGCTCTTTTGAATCCTGTATAAGAGTTGTCATATAAGGGAGCGTTAAAAACCCATGTCAATCCCTGCATGGCTCCCTGAGGAACCTTCTCAGAGGTCCTGCCAATGCACAGAAATGAGCTTCTTGGCCAACCTTGAACTATAAATCGGAAGCAGAAACCCAATACATTAAGATTTTCCAAAGTTGTCCACATTCTGCATTGTTTGAAAGACATGATTTATATTTTGCGTGAAATGAGATACATTTAAAATTGAAATTTTGATTGTCAACTATTTGACAAGTATTACTAGTAATATACTGCCAAAAGCTGTCAGCTCCTCCCAAACCAACCCCAAAGCCTTAGGGATAATATGCTGTGCCTGTAGTTGCTGCTGCTTACCTCTTTAAGAACTCATCATGTGATGCAACACAGTTGTGGTTACTCCAAGTATCAAAGTTACTTTTCTACATTTCACCAGAGACTTGTTGTTGTTCTTTCTCAACTGTGTAGTGCTTACTTAAGTGATTTTCTTGGGTACCGGTTATTGCCACTGATTTTTACCTTTCTCTCAAAAAGTGCAAAGGGAATAATGGAGCCAATATAAAAATTCCACTTCTCAGTATCATGTACATATACTGCTTGTAGGATTGTTAATAAAACTTCTTAGGGGAAATGTCTTGAAATAAACCGTCACTTTTCCTGTAATGATGACATCTGCACATCCTAACAGTCAGGGCAGCTTATCACAGGTTGACTAGTTTGAAGAGCAGGAGCTGGTCCTGACACCTGCAGGCTGAACTCGGAATTGAGCGTTCCTTTATGCTGCAGGGGAAAAGACCAGATAAACACAGTTGTAGTACCTCGCCACATGAATGGTTATGTCGTTGCATGATGTGGTTTCAAACAAATGTCCCAGAGACTATTTTTGAAGGGAAAATTGGATAAATGAAGAGTTTGTTAAATATATTGAAAGTAAATGACATATTTGGAAATCTTACAGACAAAATGGCAGGATGGAGGAGAGAAGAGGTTTGATTCCCTGTCAGAATCCTTTGTGTACCAGCTGGTGCTGTGCTGTTTTTTGGAGCAGGATGAATCCCTGTTTTTCCCCTTCATCTTTTTTCCTACTGAGTGCACAGATTAATTCTGAAGATTAATGACTGTCTGGCTGTGCCCTTGCAGATCATTCATTATACTTAATTAAAAGTCATGAAGCTTTTCAGCAATGCATGATGTTATCATCTACTCCATTTACCCTCTAATATTTAGATACATGTCTTATTTAATTTGTTTTGCAGGAGGCTGCCAAATATAACAAGAAGGTGATGGTGCTGGACTTTGTCACGCCTACGCCTCTAGGAACATCGTGGGGTAAATTTCTCTCCATTGCAAATCTGTTATGAAGGAGCACTATTTACTAAGAGACTCTTATTCTCCTTTGGGATCAGGCACTCTGATGTGGAAAACACATTCTGTTCCTTTCTCTTAGGTCTTGGAGGAACATGTGTAAATGTGGGCTGTATACCTAAAAAATTGATGCACCAGGCAGCTTTACTGGGACAAGCCTTGCAAGATTCACGCAAATTTGGATGGCAGTTTACTGAAGAAGGTACAGAAAGACAGAAAGATAACGTATTTTTTGCAGTTTTGTCATTTGTGCTAAAAATCCAGAGATTTATTTCACAGTCAAGTGCTTTATGCACTTAAGCATGTGCCAGCTTTAATGAAGTGAGGCAAGTTCAGAGAGACTACACATAAACTTAAGTGCTTTCCAAGTTTAAAGGCCACAGTGCTTGCTGCTTTGCAGCATTTTATCTGTTTTTAATAGCTTATGATCATACCAATATTTGGTAAGACTTGTGTGTGGATGAAAACAATAAAGTATTACTCCATCTCTGAATTAACCCAGCATCTAGGGGAAGACACCAGAGAGAGTGTCCTCTGTCAGAAACTTCCTTATAATTGCAAATGAGGATTTCCTTCCCCTCAGTCTCCCTCGCTACTACATAACCAGCTGAATTTTCTTTATTTTAGCTCTGATGTGCATGTTTATAGGATTGGGATTTATTTAGGATATAATCCTATAGAGAGGAATATGCAGAGGCACCTATCAGAGATGCATAATCTTCATTTGTTGAGCAATGACACCTGCTCACAGCATGTGTCTATAGAAGAGTATTGATAAGGAGATAAATCTAAACGTTTCATGTTTCAAAGACTATGGCTATGCTAATAAAAGGGAAACATCTCAAATGGTTGCCAGGAGGAAAGTCATCGACTGCTTTTTAGTCATATGATCTGATTCTTTGTGACCTCTTTGTCTATGCTGGTGTAATTCTTCAAATTTCAGTAAGGTTACCCGGGAGTGAAATAGGAATGACAAAGGTGACTGGGTCATGACAAAAAGTCTATCTGAGAATGCAAGGTTGCCTACGGGAAAAAAAGGGCTCACAGATTGAAATACACATTTTTATTTTATTTCTAACAGTCAAACACAACTGGATGACTATGACGGAGTCTGTTCAGAATTACATCGGCTCACTGAACTGGGGCTACCGGGTGGCACTGAGAGAGAAGAAAGTCGCATACGAAAATGCATATGGAGAATTTGTTGGACCACACACAGTTAAGGTACTGCCTAGTCGTGTTTGCAAGGTCTTCCGGTAGTACTTATCAATAAAGATGCTTTTCAGACAGAACATTCTTTCCTTTGTTAAGGACTGGCAAGTGCTCACTTCGTACTCTTACTTTGTCCACAGGCAACAAATAAAAAAGGATTTGAGAAACTGCATACAGCTGAGAGATTTCTGATTGCCACCGGTGAAAGACCACGTTACCTGGGTATTCCTGGAGACAAGGAATACTGCATTAGCAGGTAAAAATGGGGAGGAATATGAAATAATTCATCATGTGTAAATGCTCAACCTGCAAGAGAGAACAGTGAAGTATGAACAGGGCTGCTTGCTTGCTGTTTTTTATATGTAACTTTTCGTTGAAGGAACGTACGCAAAGGAGAATAACAATAGACAGATATTGAAGTACCAAGAACATTGGTGTCTAATAAACACCATAGGACTGTGGGTGTCTGGCTAGGATAGTTCTATTTTCAGCTGGTAACAGCAGTAGCTGAGAATGCTGTAAATCATATGTATGCCCATCATAAAATTAATTCATCAGCTTGGTTCCAGTTGCCATTACACATACTTTCTTCCTGTCCTTTATGGTCTGTTTTAGTTCACATACTGAGGTTTGTTCATAGTGAAGAACACTGTCCACTTGGAAAAAACCTCCCTGCTCAAGTGTCAAGGAAAAAGGGGGTTCCAAAGCAGTCCCTGTTGTGAAGCTAGTTGAAATGTACCCGTCTTCATGCGTTTCGGGTCTTGAAACTCAGACCACCTTTTTCCCAGCCACTCAGTGGAAGGAACTCAACTTTTGGGAAAACCTGTTTCAAATGCCTGGTTAATTGATAAAACCAAACAAAGTTAGAATGGTTTTGACAGAAAATTGTGATATGCGGGTGAGATATGTTTTCATTTCAGACTAACTTTTAACATAGGTTGAAATTACAGGCTCGGAAACCGATAGCAATGAAATAAATGGCTGGCATGAACCCTGAGAAACCGAAACACCGTGTTGTATGTTTCCCTGCTAGTAGGTAGTAGAGACATTGGGTGCAACAGATAATGTCACCTCTAAGGTGCTACTTTAAAAGGACATTAAGGTGCCAGGGTTAGGAACTCCAGAGCTAAGGAGTATCAGACTGAAGCTGTTTATGTAATAATCTTAATCAGGTTCCCTGGGGAACAGGAACTATGATGTAACCTTTAATTACTATCCCACGGTATTTTGTTGCACAGCAACATTTGCAGAGAGCATCTTGTTCAGCCTCTGCAGTGGCTCACTGAAAGACACTTATTTTAGACTTAAAGCTTTTGAGAACTTAGATGCTAGACTATAACAAGTCTCTGTTGAGCAAGTGTGACACCTCCATCACTCCCTGCTTCCCTGAGAAGCCCTGGCTTCATAGTCTAGCTCCAAGGTATGGTAGAACTGAACTGTCATGATGAAGCAGTTGAAAGAAGTGGAAGGCAGGCAGATCAACGTTTTCCATAATTGTGTACTTCTAGTTCTGCCTGCTGCTGTGATTTGCATTCATTTATTTTATTGACAAGGTATATTTGGCTCGGTGTATAATGCTTTAGCAAAAGTATGTCTTCAAAAAAGTGAAGATGGTGTGTTTCACTACATACTGAGCCTTTTCTTTGCAAGATATACCTCTGAGCAGTTAAAGTTTGCGGCAAAATATTTGCAGCAAGATTTAGGGAAAAAAAGACATTTTTTCAACAATTTCTCATTTGTTATTGTAAAAACCCTTAGCATTTTTGGTGATTCACAGTGTATCATACTTATTTTTATGCTCCTAATTAGAACTTTTTAATCTACCATACACTGATCTTGTATTTCAGCTGAATTTCCCCCAAAATTGTTTTTCTAGTGAGTAGGAATAGGAATAAAGTCCTGGTCATACAAAAAAAAAGTGGACAAATATAAAGAGCAGTATACTCTTCTGGTTGTCTCTGAGTTTCTTTTCTTTTTTTCCTTCTTTTCCAGTGATGATCTTTTCTCTCTGCCTTACTGTCCAGGGAAAACCCTGGTGGTTGGAGCTTCTTATGTTGCCCTGGAATGTGCAGGTTTTCTTGCAGGTCTTGGATTAGATGTCACTGTAATGGTGAGATCCATTCTCTTAAGAGGATTTGACCGGGATATTGCAAAGAAAATTGGTGACTATATGGAAGAACACGGAGTCAACTTTATTAAACATTTCGTGCCAATCAAGGTAGGCTGAAAGTGTTGCATGACGGCGATTGAATGATTACTGATTGTAATATGATTGATTACTTATTGTAATGTTTTAAGATACAGATTATTTTACTGAATACAAAAGTTGAATTCACAATACAGGGTCTGCTACGATATAGGTTAATTTTTGTTTGTTTTACGCTGAATAAGCCTATTAAAAGTATATAATGAGAAACACAAATTTAGCCTTATTAAAATTGTTTGAGATTCCAGAATTCATTGTCTTTATCAAAATTAGATTGCTTAGTATATTGTGCATTAAAAATCTTGCTACACTTGCTGGTCCTGATTCTGCAAATGCTGAATATACTTAAATTTCAGTAGTTGTCCTGAAATCAGTGGGACTGCTTGCAAGCTCAGAATTAAGTTGATATATAATTTCCTGCAGGACTAGAGGCAGTGCATCACAAATAGTCATATTTTGCTTTGTCAGTTCTCAAATTCTCAACCAACAGATACTGCTTGCATTGCCCAGGCCAAGTGGACTATCCTGAAAAGTAAATGGGCTTTATAAGTATGCACCTCTATCCTTTACTTGGCAGAATTTTTGAAAACTTGCTTAATTTTCCTTGAGTTCAGTAAGGCTACTTATGCAGTTAGTTATGTATATGTATAGGCAAATTCAGGCTGAAAAACAGATTAGATAAGCTCTGGAACTTAATGTAAAATTACCTTATCAAAGACTTCAGAGGGTGCTGACAGTATTTTCCTTAATGGTGTTTCACAATGATTGGTGCTTAATTATTATAAAATAGGAAAAAATGTATTAAGCAATTTTCCGTTTGGCATTAAGCCAGAGTGTTAGAGTTTAACACTTAGGGGCTTAAAGCATTAAATAGAGTGAAGTCTGTTCTTCTTCACGCTTAGCAATATCAATAATAGCTTAAAAAATGCACTTGCCAGTTGCTGTTCTGCAGATGTGACCCCTCTCAGAATGTATGAGATTTGCTGTGAGAGGTCAAAGTGCATGTTTCAAGGAACTTTATGCTCTTATTCAAGTTTATGCTGAGAAATGCTGTGGTGCATGGAAAAGCAGGGATGAGTGTCTGTCTTTTCATTGCTTCAGATTTAGCTGTTTGTAGTCTTTTCTGGGGGATGGGGAAGGAGGAAGTTGATCTTAGCTGAAATGTTCTGCTGCTTCTAGGTGGTGAGTGGCCTCCTCAAGAGGCACTCTGCAGAGAGGAGTCCATCACCCTAATCATAAAATGCACTTTTGTGTGTTTTACCCAGTCCCTGTACTGTATGCCGTTGATTTCAATGGGAATAAGATATTTGGCTCTGTTTCTAGTTGAAAATGTCCTTGAACATGAATTGCTGGATGTATTTTTAGCAGGACTTCTCTTCTTTCCACCTTCTCTTCACCCTCACTTCTATTCTTTTCCAGTGTTGTTTTTGAAGTTATGCATATTGTGCTTATTAACAAACCTTCAGTGGGACATTTGAAGACAGAATATGAGTTATTATAAATAATGCTGCCTTAGAATAGGAGCAGTTTAACATAGTGATCTTTTGAAGTTGGTAGAATAGCACAAAAGGTGGGATTTCTTTAAATTAAAAAAAAAATACAGGGGAAAACAGAATTTGAGTAGAAATTTTCCTTTTTTCTGTTGCCAAATACTGAGTATGAGGTAGGAATTAGGGCAGTTGTTGAAGTGCACATTCTTTCTTCCACAGAATGAACGCTAAAAGTTTCCCAAAATGGTTATGTGTTGTACAACACGTATCTATTCTATCGACAGCCAGCTGTAGGAAGAAGCAGCTAGGAGCCTTGCAGTTCCAGGGCAGTGAGAGAAGGACTGTACTTGAGGATATACAGTCTCTTTGTGACAGTCTAGGGAAAATTAATAGGACAAAAGAGAACCCACTTATGTAGCTTCAAATTCCATTTGTTTGTTTTGTTGATTATTTATCAGAGGAAAAATGAGCACTTGGAAAAAGCCAGTGGCATCGCTCTTTCTGCTTTTTGTTTTCTGGTGTTCGCTTTTGTTGTTGTTTTTTTTACAAACCAATATGGTGTTGCTCTCAATAAAGAGCATGGGTGCAAAAAGATTCATATCTGCTTCTTTTATTACTTTTGCTTTGCTGGAATAGGCTATAATCCACTGCAGTTATGGAAGCAAAAGTGTGCTGCTGGATCCAAGCTAAAACTAGGAATATTTATTTCAGCTGACTGTGGAATTTTGATTCTTCAGAGTTTTTTAAGTTGCTAGTGTTGTTCAACCGCTTAGAGGCAACTGCTGCCCTCTCCTGCAAGGCAGTAGGGGCTTCCTGTGTAGAACTGAGTCATTCAAACAGAGCAAAGGCCTGTCCTACCAAGGGCTGGACAGTGACTGTGGCTCCTCCACGGGTGGAAGGCACACTGGTCTTCTAGGTGCAGCTGAAGAAAATGTCTGGTGCTGTCCCCAGTCTTGCAAGAGTTCCCTTTCCTCACAGCTCCTCTGTCCTCAGAAGCAGGACTAGCAGCTTATGCTGTGAGCTTGAACAAGAACCTAGCCATCAACCCGATTAGAAACTGGGTATTATGGGGTTGATTATAAGAATAAATGCAGTGAGATAAAACAAGATGTTTAAATATGCAAGTAATCAGAAATCTAGAGAAAGGTAACATAATCTTTAGGCTGAATACTTGAATTTTAGGTCATGATGAAAAATACTCACTTTCAATGGTAAGTGGTGGGACAAGGATATATTTGCATATCTTTATTTGAAACTAAAAACTTGTTTTCAAACACCATAGGTTGAACAGATTGAGGAAGGAACTCCTGGAAGATTGAAAGTTACAGCCAAATCCACAATGGAGAACCAAATAATTGAAGGGGAATACAATACTGTGAGTCCTTCATAATAAACTCTCTAAATATGTAAAAAACATGGAATACCTTCCATTTAATATTAAGATTTTGTGGGTTGTTTTTATCCATAGATTAAATTATTTTTTATTTTTAATCATTACAGTATGTTAATTGCACTCAGTCAACAGTGAGAAGTCCTAGAATCCATGCACATAAGCCCCAAGTACTTTGCCAAATGACCTGTGTGCTTTTGAAAACTCTGTCTTCTAGCTTTGGGATGTGGAGAAGCGTGGTCATGTGAAATTCATTGCAGGATTTGTCCCCAAGGTGATACTTGTCATAAACTATAAGTAATGATTTATAATAGCTTTCATAGTAACTGAAGCCTGCAGTTCTGGAGCTAGCATAAAACAATGACCCTTGTAAGAGCTAAGCCCAGTGTCATGTTTTCTCAAGATCTGTTGTTGATGCAGCATCTTCGTGAAAACACCTAATGCCCTCGGCAAGTCAGTCAGAGAGAACTTATTACACACCCAAAACAGTAAAATTGCACTGTGTGTGCAATGGGAGTGCATGAAAGTATGCCGTTACATGTGTGACTGGCTGTTTCCATCACCTCCCACCTCACTCATTTTCTTAGGCCTTGATGCTGAAAGGAAAAAAGTTGTGAATAAATTATTTTGAGCTACTCAGAATGCATAAAGATGAGTGTTTGTGAGCCTGGGACTTTAGACTGCAAGTACTGTGTGCCAGTGACCTCATCCACCTGTACAGTGCTCCAGTTGTTCCATAACAAGGGTATGCCTCAGTGCCTAGGAGAAGGTTAAACAATAAGAGCAGTGCTGTCTCACAGTGTTTTAGTACTTTTTTCTTTTTTTGGTCCCTGGTAGTGAAAGTTTTTTGGCTTACAAATCAGTGCTATCTTTTCTTTAAGGAAACTTCTGATTTCTCATTGCTATTACATCTTTCCCTGAATTGCTGTCACTCAGTATAGAAGCTGTGAGCTATGTGTGACTCATTTGAAGATCTTCAGCTTTGAGGATCTGGCATACTTGATCATCTAAGAGACTTGAAGCAGGTCTCGGACTTCTTCAGCAGAGTTCTTAGTTGTCATATGAGAAGCACTGTGTAATTACCTGGGCAGTTGTCCAAGACTGTAAAGCACAGAGCACCTTTCCTTTGTGATAGTATGCATTTGAATTTGTTGCGTTTGTTAAGGTTGCCAGGTTGGTGGGATGAGTCAGAATGTAGTCTGTTCTGTCCATCATTCGGAACAAGTGCTGGTTTGTGTGGAGATAATATTCTCTTGGTTGAGAGCCTATAGAAGTAAATTATGATGTTTTCTGATTAAAGCAAAGATCATCTTACAGTCTTTTTATTTGTCCAAGTAACCTGAATTTCCTTCTAAAGAGCCCTTTCCTTATAGATCGGTTCATGGTCATCTTGGTAGGAATTTGGTATAACGCTTCGGTATGAAAAGCATGAGGAAATAAAATAGAATAATCTGACCCTAGCCAATTTGTTTAGAGTACTCTTGGAGTGTTTGTCCAAGAAAAGATATTTATCTATATTTAATCTTAGAAGTAAAACCTGGTACTGTTAGATCACAGTCAAGGTATGTCTTGTCTTGAACTCTGTGAAATGTACAAGGGGTAACAAACATGTTCATCTTAATGTGACTAAGCCAAGCTACTGATCTTTTCTACGTAATGGAAATACTGGATAGCAACATGCAAATACCCTTTTGAGGTTTTAGGAAGTAAGTAACATCTGCATTGCTGTTTTGCAGGTGTTGCTGTGCAGATCAATGAAAAGTAAGGACAGATGTTTGTACAGCACTGACTACTGAGCTTGTGTCATTTGCTACCACAGTGACAGGGGTACCACATGCACATTCAATTGCTGTGAGGAAATTATTTTTCCTCTGCTTGCTTATACTTGGTTAGGAGATTATTTAGCAGATAGCTGCGCTTTGTCACATAGTATTGCCACTTTTGTTTTTTTGATTTTAAAACATCAGTTCCTAAATGCCAGGAGTCAGAAACATCTGTTCTGTTCTGTCTAGGTTCACATACTGGAGGCTGTCAGCTTCTTCCAGTGACTGGGCTTTCTAGGATCTGACAGTAGTTCCTTGTACTCTTTTATTCTTGCGTCCTTTGTTTTTATATCTGCCACCTCTTAGGGTAGAGATTCAACCTCTTAGGCTAGAGATTGTTTTTTTCATACAGATGAAATGAAAGCTTTTAGTGTAGTGGATTTTGTTTACATTTTTTTAATGTAAATGCTGCTATATGTTTATTTTGGAATATAAGGTCAAAGTAGCATTCCTTAAACTCACGATTGGAGCCGGTGATGTGTTTTAGTTTTTTGGAGGAGTTCGTTTTTCAGTCTTAGAGCAACCCCTGGGAACAACCTGTTTCTGGTAGAGCAGTATTTCATGCTTGATGTTGTGAGGTGGCTGTGCTGGGGGTGGACCTGTTGGTAACGCTTTCAGTATTAGTAACTTTGAAATGTCTAGACATGAGGGACCCAGACTGTACTCCCTTTAAGAAAATGAGCAGGACCATGAACTTGACTTCTTAGTCTGTGGGAGAGCAGTGCAGAGGACAGTTTGCATATGATCACAGTGATTGATGTTGCTGAAGGGAGTTGTTGCAGTGTTATAAAAAAGTGAGAGTTTTGGTTCACCCAAAACTGGCTCACCCATGCTGTCTTGTAGAACAGTACATATCTTCCTGACAGCATGATGACCATTACCAGCTTAATGGAATAAACCATAAAATTATTAGTATAGACTGTGTATTTATAACAAGAGCAAAATCAAGAAAGTTGGATTTTAATATAGGAATTGCCACTAGTCCCTCTAATTTCTTAAGTAACTGTGTGGTTATTCCTACGCCTGTCTGTGTAGGTGTCCCTGTTACATGTGTTTCTTGCAGAGACGACTGCGCTATTTAATTTATTAATAAAGTGGGAAATATTACTAATTAAAAACTTCCATTAGTTCAATACGTTTAACACTAAAAAGCTTGCTGACTGTCCCTTAAGTAGGGACAGCTTGACCTGTGCCTATGTAGAAGCCTGAAGTTTATAGAAACTACTTCAGACAGTGGGTTGGAATTTCAGCAGTGGAGAAATCCTGTCCGTCTACTTAGCCCTAGTGAGGCCACATCTGCAGTGCTGTGTCCAATTCTGGGCTCCGCAGTACAGGAGAGAGACATGGCACTACTGGAGAGAGTCCAGAGGAGGGCTACAAAGATGACGAGGGGACTGGAGCATCTCTCCTATGAAGAAAGGCTGAGAGAGCTGGGCCCGTGTAGCCTGGAGAAGAGAAGACTGAGAGGGGATCTCATCAGTGTATACAAATACCTAAAGAGAGGGTATCAAGAGGATGGGGCCAGACTTTTCTCAGTGGTGCAACAGGGCAAAAGGCAACGGGCACAAACTGAACCACAGGCAGTTCCATCTGAACACGAAGAAAAACTTCTCTACTGTGAGGGTGACAGAGCACTGGAACAGTTGCCCAGAGAGGTGGTGGAGTCTCCTTTGCTGGAGATATTCAAAACCCGCCTGGACGTGATCCTGGGCAACGTGCTCTAGAGGACCCTGCTGGAGCAGGGGGGTTGGACTAGCTGATCTCCAGAGGTCCCTTCCAACCTCAACCATTCTGTGATTCTGTGAAATTCTTTCATCCTACAGTTTGAGTGGGAGAATATCTCTTCCTGTGATTCGTGGAGGTTGCCAATGCACAGCTCAGCTGGTAGTAAAGTATGCTGGGGAAAGGATTTATGCCTCACCAAAGAATTAATTCAGGAGATGAGTCACAACTTCATGGGCTACCTCCTTATCCAGTATGTAAATTTCTGTAGCTTTGGTAGAGTCACTAGTCTGCACTGGTTTACATTCTTGCCCGAGATTGTGAGGTTATGAACACAACTTCTTTCCCTTGTATTTCAAGTACATGTCCTGCAAAGGTTATTTACCCCTCCAGTCTTCACAGCAGAATACTTGTATCTTTTTTTCTTATTAATGCAAATTGTAGAACAGGAAAAATCCCTGTCAATGATGAGGAGCAAACAAATGTGCCATATATCTATGCTGTTGGAGATGTACTACAGGGCAAGCTGGAACTCACACCAGTGGCAATCCAGGCAGGAAGATTGTTAGTTCAAAGGCTTTATGCTGGAGCAACCATTAAGGTGAGTAACCAGTTTGCATGACACACTGCTCTAATTTTAAGTGCAATGTGCAAGTTTGTTTGTTTATGGAAAACTCTTAGTAGGCTTTTAAGGATTAGCTTCAATGGTCACTTTAATTTTCCCCTCGCAAAGATATTAGTGTAGATTTGTTCTTCTTATAGTGCAGTTTGAAATGAATGCCTTATGGATTCAGTAATAGTCTCTTTTTCCTCGTAAGAGATTTTATTTTTCTCTCTGGGTATAGTGATAATAAAATTAACTGAGATCATTTAACTGGATTTTAACACTATTGCCTTCCCTGTAAATGTCAGCAATCACCCCAGTTTCATTAAATTTATTAACTCTAATTCACAGACAATTTACTAACTCTTACCTGAGGTTGCTGAGTAGGATGAAAAGAGGGTTTGTGTTGCTCTTAACTTTCAATGTTATTTGCACTAATATTTTTACTATCTGTTCTTGTGTTTTCATTGTGGTACATAGTGAATTCTATTGCAAATTAAATATGAAGACAAAGAAAGATCAAATGTTCCAACAGATCCAACACACTTTTCTATCTGAGAAATTGAATTCATCAGTGCCTTGCTTACATTTCATACTAGCATCATTGTGGCTTGCAGTCAAGCTATGTTAGTCCAAATAGGAGTAACCTAGTATTGAGTTACATCGTATCTTTAAACTAGGAAAAAAGGAAAGTGCCTTTAAAGAACTATTATTCAAGCACTCATTGATGTGGGCGTTGGTCTCACCCTCATAACCATAGGGCAGGAGCATAAAGGTTTCCTCTTGTAAAGCCAGCTGAACTCATATCGGTTTCAGTTGTCAGCCAGATTTAGAGCCTGATCGAGTTGTGTATTGGTTGGCAGGTATTGCAGTAATAGAATTCTGAATTGCTGTGCATAATATCATTACCTCAGCCAGGTACGCTTTAAGAAATCTGTAGCTAGAGGCAGGATTTTTTTTTTTGGACAGTACTAGGAATATGGCTTAATTTACAGTTTGTGCCAGATAACTGTCTCTCAAGGTACGAAAGCCTTCATACTGCCAAAGAAAGCATCATCTCTTTCAGTGAATCCAAGAAATGAGTAACTACTTAGATGGGATCCTGACTTACACTGCTGTTTTAATAGATGCAGAAAAGGTGATTGTATGAAGCATAATGAAGTGGCATAGGTAGGTGAGGAGAGAATAACAAACAGCAATTTAGTTGATCCTCAATCACAAAATAAATGAGTTTGAGTTGCAATTGGTAGAAATTAAAATTAGTAGAAGGTAATTAGCGAAATTAATTAGAACTGGCCAACTTGATAGTCTTCTACAGTAAAATGACTAATTTGGTGGAGAAGGAGAGAGCAGTGGATATTGTTTATCTTGACTTTAGCGAAACTTTTGCCACTCCTTCCCATAACATCCTCATAGACAAACTAATGAAGTATGCACTAGATAAGTCGACAGCGAGGTGAACTGAAAGCTGGCTGAACTGCCAGGCTCAAAGGGCTGTGGTCAGCAGCATGAAGTCCAGCTTCATGGAGGCTAGTCACTAGCGGTGTAGCATAGGTGTGGATACTGGAGCTAATACTGTTTAACATCTTTATTAATGACCTAGATGATGGGACACAGTGCACCCTCTGCAAGTTTGCAGATGATACAAAATTGAGAGCAGTGGTTGATACATCAGAAGGTTGTTCTGCCATTCAGAAGAACCTTGACAGGCTGGAAAAAATGGGCTGAGAGGAACCTCATGGAGTTCAACCCAGGGAAATGCAGAGTCCTGCAGCCGAGAGGGAATAACCCCACGCACCGGTACAGGCAGAGGCCCGCTGTCTGGAAAGCAGCTTTGCAGAAAAGGCCTCAGGGTTCTGGTGGGCAACAAGTTGACCATGAGCCACGAATATGCCTTGAAGGCAAAGGTGACAAATGGCATCTTGGGCTGTGGTGAGGAAAAGCACTGTCAGCAGGTTGAGGGAGGTGATCCTTCCCATCTACTCAGCACTGGTGAGACCACATCAGTGTCCGTTTCTGGGCTGTGCACTACAAGAAAGACATTGGCACACTGGAGCGAGTCCATCAAAGGGCCATGAAGATAGTTAAAGGACTGGAGCATCTGATATGCAAGGAGAGGCTGAGAAAGCTGGAACTGTTTAGCCTCAGAAAGAGAAGGCTCAGAGGCAATGCTATCAATGAGTATGCAAACCTGATGGGGAGATTAAAGAAGATGGAACTAGACTCTTCTCAGTGGTGCCCAGTGGCAGGACTAGAGGCAATGGGCGCAAACTGTGATACAGGAAATTCTATTTAAACATAAGAAAAAAATCCCTGTGAGAGTGGTCAAACACTGTAATAGGTTGCCCAGAGAGGCTGTGGAGTTTTCCATCCTTCAAGGTACTCTGAACTAACTGGACGCAGCCCTGAGCAAACTGCTCTGAGCAGGGGAGTTGGACCAGATGGTCTTCAAAGGTTCCTTCCAACCTCAGTGATTCTGTGTGTGATTGTGTATAACTGATATAATTTGCAATATAAGTTTGCAGCAATCACACACACACACACACACACACACACTTGTAGAGGTACAGATACAGCATCTCCCCCTCCTCTTTTCTGTGTTTGCTTTTAAGCAGGAGGAACCACTGAAACACTAAAGCTCCAGTAAAGGCAGCAGCAAATGTTTGGCTTCCATGGTATGTGATGAGGCACAGGGTATCAGCTCTGGTTTTCACTGTCCCCCCAAATGGTTCTAGTTCATGTCTTTGGCTCTTTGGCATCTCTTAGGCTGCAGTTGATTATAAAGAAGATGGGTTTTGGAAGTTGGTATTGTCTGTACAGCATCACTTGCTAAAAATATTATGCTTTGTTGAAGAAGTTGAACAATATACTTTTTATCTCCAGTGAAACCTGTGATCTGATACATTGTAAAGCAGGGCACTGAATTTCCTCTTCCTTCTTAATCCATGCATATTAATGTCAGTGTGGCTTTAAACCAACTTTTTGTTGGTGCTCTAGTTAACACCTCTGAGAGGGACAGGACCCAGAAAAAAAAAAAGCAGCGTTCAGAGTTATGAATAATCCAGCTTTTCTTCCTGTGTTTCAGACTGCTGAAGTATTAGCCAGTGTGCTGATACATGACTGATACTGTGTGTTTTTTGTTTTATTTTGAATACTGCACAGTGTGACTATGTGAATGTTCCAACAACAGTGTTCACTCCCTTGGAGTATGGAGCCTGTGGGTATTCTGAAGAGAGTGCAGTGATGACGTTTGGGGAGGAAAACATTGAGGTAAATGCCTTCATTTCATCTGGATGTTAAGTTTTCCAAATATGTGCTTGGAAATAGCATTAAGAGTTGATTAAAACAGCATTCTTTGCTCTGATTTACAGGCAGGAGGATACTAGGTACATTTTTGTCTTTCTAGGCAGTCCCTAAGTATGTTCTAAAAATAGTCCCCAATTCTGATAGTTCTGGTTACAAAAATGTTCTTTTTTTTTGGCAAACTGGGCTTGTAGGTAGAATATTTGTTTAAAAAAAAGGTTTCTTTGTGTTTACAAATGCTTGAGGGATAAATTAAAGGTGGGTATGTGTTGGCTGCAGTAAATTGGTTTTAATGTCAAAGCTGAGCTTGTAGCTACAGTGTGGCAAATTCCTTGCCAGGGTGATTTTTCCTTTATAAAGTCAAATAATGTTGCTACATTCATTTTTGCTGTTTGTTTTGACTATGCAAGCAGATAGGTGCTTAATTTTCCTCTTGTGAGTAGTCCCTTTTCATTCACTGGGATAGCTCTCAGGAGTGAAATTAGACATATGTAAGCGCTTACTGCCTCAGGCTGTTCTTGCAAAATAGAGTACAGACCATAGTATAAAAAGCAGGAGAGAAGGGAGTCTGACAGTAGATTGAACTTCTTTTATGTCCCAAGAAGATCCCTTCTGGAACATGATTTGGGGAAATAATCAGATAAGTGGCAGTTCATAAATTTGAGAACTTGTCTCCCTCTTAGGTTTATTCAAATACACTTTTGGAACTGGACTATGGAGAAAAGAACAAAATGTTACTTTAAATCGCTGTGTCAATCACTTTTAACAGGACTATAGCACAGGAGCTGAAATTCTGTTCTGCCCGCAGAGTTTGTATACACACAGTCAAATTTTTGTTATTGAGTCAAATTCTTGCTGTTACATGTGAAACACTGGGGTCTTTGTTGTGGAAAATGCGCTCACTGTTTTCAAAGCCATTTTTGAAAACGTGCTTTAAAGTATCTGGAAACATTTGTGTTCTGGCTAAATCCTAATTTAGTTTATTCTGGCCTCCTTATCGTGTCACTGTATTGGCTTTTGCTTTTGTTTTGTATGCTTCAGTGGCACTATTGAATTGCATTCGTCATCCAGACGTGCTTAATTTCAGTGCTGGGTAACAGAATGTTTATAAATGCTTTGTAGCCCCGTTAATATGGAAAACACTGAGCTGTCGCTCCTTATTTGTGAAGGGACATATTATTACGGGAGTTGCAATTAATTAAAAAGTTCTCTCAGATAGTAATCAATTTGAGATTAGTTTATAATGAGTGCTGGAGGGAGTTCTGGGTATAGCTGTTTCTTAAAACACCCAGTCATTTTCTGATATGTGCTATGCAGGTGGATGGGCAGACTTATCCTCAGCTGAGTATCTGTCCAGTGACGTAGGTTGGGGCAGTCAGAAAATGTGGTTTTTATGTGTACCATTCATTCCTTTCCCTTTTTCAGTGATGCATCATCTCAGAGAGCCTGGAAAAATCATTGCCTGATCTCTCCTGAGCCTAGGCTCTGTGGCTATTTCTTTCCTTTTAGTGTGCTGAGAAATACTTTTCCTTCATCCCAGGTAGACCCAGTGACAATACAACTTTCCATAAGGGAAGCTTCTCTTTATCTGGTTTAACGAGGGCATACGAGGCTTTAACGAGCCTGGATGTGTGATACTCCTGTGGCTTCTTTTTTAATTACTGGATGACACTAATGCTTATTTTATAGTAGCTTCCTTATTTGGCTTCCATCAAGGGAAAAGATTCTCATCCTAATTTCAAGTATTCCAAATTGTATGTGTATGTTGGTTGCTAATGAAGAGATATTAGTCAATGTTTCACACCTGTGTTGCGTCATGATTGTTGACAGTTTTTACAGGTGTGATATTTCAAAAGCCTTGTCCTCCTAAGTCTGCTTTAATTGCAGTCAGTAAAGCTCTGCCCGTGGAGGTAGATGATGCAAATTTAGGATAATGTGGCAGCTTTTGGAAGATCATATTCTGTGCTGTGAAATGACAAATCTTTCTTTAACCTCTTTGTTATATTTCCAGGTGTACCATAGTTATTTCTGGCCCCTGGAGTGGACTGTCCCATCCAGAGACAACAACAAATGCTACGCAAAGATAATTTGCAATATTCAAGATAACGTAAGTGCATTTTTTTCGCTCCAGAGAAAGCAGCAGCTGCATGCTCATGTTAGAGGCCAGTGATACCACGGCTATAAATGGGATACTTTTAACAAATTACAAATGAATTTACATTTTTCTACCTTTTTGACATTTTGCATATTTGTAATGAGCCAATATTTTTGTTTATAGAAAAATGGCCCTTAATAAAATACACAATTCTGAAATTGCCATTGATATATGATATTTCTTCATATAGGTAAAATACAGGTAGAATTCATTACTCACTTTGAAAAGTGAGTGAATCAATGCATGTAAAACATGTTAAAAGTTTTTATCTGTTGATCTTAACTCCCCCCTCTCTACACCTGGCGGTTCTTTTCTGGGGAAATCTTTGCTCTGAAGTTAAGGTCACTCAGAACCCATTACATCTTGTGATCTTTACAAATGCATGTCTCTAATCTTGTTAGAATGATCTCAAGAGTTTTATAATCTATCTTGCCTGCACAAATCTCATTTACAGTGATAATGCCAGGATTATCCTTGGACTAGGATAAAACTAGGATGAAACTTGCTGGTTATGTACCTGCTGAAGCACAAACAAAATTAGATTGGTTAGAAGAATTGGTATGTCCCCCTCTGAATGATCATCATCTATTTAATTTTTCAAATCCAACAAAGTTTTTATTAATGTGCTGCTAAGAATGTATTCTTGTTAAGATAGTGGCAAAGAACTACCAGTGCTATTAAAGTTTTGGATCTATTTTACCTGTTTTCTCCTCTCATCAGATGCAGATTTAATTATCTGCAGTTTTTCTCATCAGCATGTCTCACACTTTGTAAAGTCTACCAACCTAATTTTGCCCATTTCCTGTTTCTGGAGCAGCTTCCACTAGTGTGGAAGCTATTTTAGAAGCCATGCTAATGTTCCTAATCCTAAGTTAGATGAAGAAAACGGGAAGACTTAATGGGGATTTAAAGTGTTTCATTAATTTTGTTTCCTTTTCTTGTCCTGAAAATTAGAAATGCATTTAAACATTTAGAGGTAGAGTTGAAGGTTATTCAGGGTGAAAATTTTGTTCATAAACTATGTAAATTTATAATGGAAACGGTAGTTATCCCAGTTTCATTGTGTTTATATAAAAATAAAAACAAAGGACTTTTAAAGGGAAATAAGTTCTGTTCTGTTTTAGCTATTATTTAATCTTAGATTTTCTTCTAAGGTAATTCTCAGTCCTCACACTTAGTGAAGGAAAAATAACCATACAGAGTACTCAGTATCTGTACTTCCTTAGATGCATTAGGAGGAAGAACAGGTAACTTCTGATACCCAGCTGGGCTAGATCTGTGCTCAGCAAAATCTGATTAATACCATGAAAGCCAGTGAGGACCATGATAGTTGGCATCTGCCAAATGAGACAAACTTTCTTTAAGAAAAGCAAGTCAAGTCAGCTCAGCTCATTCTCTTGAGTATTCAGTTCAGTTTTACATATTTTGCAGTTGAACAGTAGTGCAGCTGTGAGAGAAGTAAAGCATGAGGTGATAATATCTTCTCTGTAACTTGTCTTTCAGTTTGTTTTGCCAATCTCGAGATATAGTCTCTCCCAATGACAGTGAGCGGTGCAAAAACAGTTGTCTTTGGTTTAGTTAGAATGCACCTCTGGTCACATCAGTTAGCCAGAATTTTAGCTTATGACCCTTTTTACGTAAGCAGCTATCAAACTGTTCTTCAACAGAACAGGGTTTTTCAACAGATGTGTGTCATATAGCCCTGATGTTGCAAGTCTTTGTACACATGCCCATCTTTAGTTAGGCAAGCGGTCTGGTGGAATGAGTAGAATAGCTTGTCTGAATAAAATTAAAATGTCTGTTTGCAAATTGGACATACAAGGTAATCAAGCATAGATCATACCATGTGCTAAATTTGTATGCTCTTGATGTAAGCAGAGGACTTCTGCACAAAACTTTCTAAGGAAGCTGATTCTTAAGTTTGCAGTTGAATCTTTTCCTTTGCAGAGAGAGGACAAAATGCTATCCTGCTGTGTCCCGTCTCTTGGCACTAATGATAATTTACATTTGTGTGGTTACATTAATTGGTGGTATATTTCAGGGACTGATGAAATTACATACTTTCAGTGGAGGGGGAAAAAAAACCTATTATAGATTGTCTAAAGAGAACTGAATGCATGAGTGTTTCCATTTGCTTGTTATTTAGGAGAGAGTCATTGGTTTCCATGTCCTTGGTCCAAACGCTGGAGAAGTTACCCAAGGGTTTGCAGCTGCTATTAAATGTGGCATGACAAAAGAACAGTTGGACAGCACCATAGGAATTCATCCAGTCTGTGCAGAGGTTTGTATATAAAGTCACCTTCATATCCCAGCTTTTGTAACGTTCTCGGATAAGATGTTGGAAACCTGAATACCAGAATTTTATTAAAGTGTTTGGGGAAGGAGGAACAATGTAGGAGAAGGCACAAAAGTAATTTTGTTTAAACCCAAATGTTAATTTTATAATTATAATCTAGGATCTTACCTGGGATTTTTTTTGATTTATTAATTTGCTTAATATTTATAGTCTCCCCTAATCCAGTGCTCCCTCTACTGGGGACTACAGAATTTTTCTCACGCTCAAAAACCCGTTTATAAAGGCTTCAAATACTGTTTATACTAAATTGGCTGTCAAAGCTAATTTTTTAGCTCACAGGAGTAGATTTGTAGGCCTACTCGAAATAGGCCTATGAACTGGTGCTGTAGAACAGGACCAGCTACATGATGATTTTTCTATTAAATGCCGCCCTTTTAGAGATCCCTCCTTTACCCGTTCTTTGTCCTCACTTTTGGAATGAGGCACAAGAAGCAGCACAAGCATCTCTTCTTGTGTTTGTCTTGCTGTTCCTCTTTTAATGAAGACCTGAAGCCTCTTTAGAGGGTGAGAGACAGCTCCTCTTTGGTGTAAATCAGAGATGCTCCAACTGATTTTCGTGGCGCTATGACCAGTGTATATTAGGTGAGGATCCCAGTCAACTGTGTGACCTCTGTTAGTAGGTCTTTGTACAGAGTCTGTGTTTTTAACGTGTATATGTTTTAGCTACAAAGTGGAATAGCACCACGATGCCAGTCTGCAAAAGTGAAGTCCAATTCTCTGTTTTGTTTTTCCGAACTGATACAGTGTAAGCAGTATAACATGAGCTCCATAATATAAAGAACTGCTAGCAATTTGAGTCATCTTCAAAGCATCTGCAGTAAAGTTTCTACTTTCTCCTGTAATATCGTGTTATAATGGTGTTCCTGGAAGCCTTTGAAGTGGAGGCAGCAAGCTCTTATTTTATCAGAGGCCCTGTAGAGGTGAAAGTCTGAGTGAGGCATTCAAACCTGTGAACTCAAGTGGGATATTAGCATATGCAGTGTGAAGAGAGGATGATAGTCATAATTTATTCTGGACATCTGAGCTGCTAACATTGAAACTGAATGGAATGATGATTAGCCATAATTTAGGTAGATAATTTCAGCTGATCATATTTACCTGGGTGCAGGAGGAGGAAATTGGCTCAGGAGGCACACACGAATTAAAAGGTCAGGGGAAGAGTGATTGTTTTTAGTGCCAATAGTCAAAGATCTTTTTCTATGCCTGTTACTTAATCCCATCTGTTATACAGTCAACAAAAATGGAAGTGCAAGGATGGTAGTCTTTCATTTTAAAAAATCCTTTACATTTTTTTGACATTTGTAGGTATTACACATATCTGGATGAATGGAATGGTGGATAGTATCAGCTTTTTTTAATCTTAGACCTATGAACAGGCTAAGGGAAAGGAAGTCTGATCTCAGTAAGAAGGTGGCAGGATTGTTAAGTCAAATACTGCCATCTTCACTGGCATTAGGATCGTTTAATTTCCCAGAGTCTCAAATGAAACGTAATATTACTCAACTTAAAGAAGACGGTAAGAGCGAGGTTCCTGTTCTCTCTGCTTACAAACTGAAGCCAAAGTTTGCTTTCCTTATTTGAGCAGCGTCTTATTCTGCAAAGAGTCTGAAGTCAAAATGGAATTTTTTGCAATGTAAAATACGTGAACGCAGAGTGGTAAGACCTCAGCCTTGCAGAGAATTGCCTTTCACCCCAGACTCTACTGCACTGCTTGAAATACAGGCATGTATAATTGAGCATCTGTGATGAAGGGAAAGTGTTTTTTGAAAGCTGGGGTGATTCTGTGAGTTAGTTAATGACTGCTTTCCAATAATTACCAAATGGCTCCCAGCTGACTCACCGGAGTCGGGGAGCTGCGCGGTCCCCATAGCCGTTGGAGTTGGCTAGCATGCCCAGAGTTTGTGATAGGGTCAAGAAGGAAGCAGATAAAAGTTTGCACACTCTCATCTTTATTGTTATTTCAAAGTGAAAAATGAAAATTCTCATATGTTATCAGCCTGTGGATCAGAGCTGAAGGGTTAGAAACGCTATCTCAAACCACGCACCATAGTTAGTTTAAATATATTTCTGTTCCTCTGCCATATACATTAGACATGCATTTGTCTTCCTGATTTGTGCATAATGCTTTACATGCTTGTAGAAAGTGGAAGAGGTATATCATTTATTGATGATGTTCTCCAAAGAGCTGCTAGCAGCCTTAATGCAGCAAAGCTTCTACTTAGAGAACTGCAGGGCTTTCAGATCCCCATTATCTTTAGATACTTCAGTGTTATTTGCATAACTGAAATGTGCACATTCTTTATTCTGTGCTAAGTTTATTCTTCCTGAGAGATGCCTTTGATGATAGCTAATTACTGCAACTTTGAACCATTTAGACAGAAGTGGTTTTGATTTCCTGTATTCCTTTCTATATTGTATGTGTGCAAAACAACGCAATCATTTGCATAGTAAAGTTCCAATATTAAATGAGGTTTGATAAATTCGTTTTCCTTTAGAATTTTTGGCACTTTTTAATTTTACAATAATTATTCTTGAATGTGTTTTCTTTAACATGAGCTGAAAGCAGTAAAGATTGAGCTAGGTTTACCGAGTGTTTCTTAGCTATTGTCCAGAAGATTAAAAAAAAAACCCAGACATAACATCTAGATCAGCAACCAGTTCCATGTTCCCATAATATTGGGAATGGTACAGAGGCAAAATTTATGTTCTCTTGAAATGCTGCTGCCTGAGGTTAACTTCACTTTCACAAAGAAGAAATCCTCCTTGAGCCATAAAGATACATGCGCATTAGTTGTACAGACTGGAGAGTGTTATTGCTGAGCTCATTCCCACTGTGCAAACTTAAGGGCAGTAAGACAAAAGGTGGTATAAAGCCATCTGACGTCCCTTAATTGTTTCTTCTCCACTGCAAAAGGAAGACCATAAGGCAAATTAAGAGAGTATTTTTGTGTGTGTATACCATTTAGTGGCAAGGATTTTATATGCATGTTTTTCATTTATTATTTTATTACTGTGATTTAAAAATGGCTGTGGCTTTAAGCATTGTGCCCAAGTTAATTGTCCAGAAGATTCATTTTGGCATACTGAAAATATTTTTGTTTCTTTCTTTTAAGATATTTACCACACTCTCTGTGACTAAGCGTTCTGGTGGAAATACCCTTCAGGCTGGATGCTGAGGTTAAAGACTCCCATTGTCGCTATTGCCAGAGACTGACTTTCATTGCTGTGGCTGACTTGTGCAGTTCAGAAGGAACATTTTGAGAGAAATCATCATCAAACCTCTGCAGAACTGTTCAAATCTTAACTGAAGCGTTCCGTTATTCTATGGCGAAGAGCACTGTGGGAGTTCAGTCACTTGCAGTGATTGGATGGCAATCAGCAACGCAATGGGAATATTGACTATTGAGCTGTTGCGTAGCAGGGCATTGAACAGAATGCTGTCATGAAATCACAGCCTGCAGCCAGCGTTTCCTGGTGGGCAGTGATGGAAGAACTGTTAGCACAGCTGCACAATAACTTTTTTTTCCCCTCTCTCTTTTATTACCTGTACAAAGAGCTTCCTAATTCAAATGTATTACCACAAGTCCAGATAATTGTATAGTCTCTGTGTGCTAAGTTATAAAGCTGCAACTGCAAGTTCTCTTCATGAGCATACTTTTTATCAGATGACAGTCACATAGGTGAGGCATGCCTAGGGACAGGAGATTCTAGCTACAAGTTTGATCATGAGGAAGAAAATATCCTTGCAGAAAGGCTTAGTACCATCTAGAACAGCATTTTGGCTTCCAAATTGACTCCGTCACCATTTTTTATTTTAGAGATATTTATTTGTGAAAATGTTTTCCTTGATGAGTCAGGAAAATACTTTTAAGGCATTGCTATATAGAAAAGCTTTTTCCTGATAGTCACAACCATGTATGTACACAGATGTTATCTTTTTAGCTTTATCTTGCAGCTTATGTGGTTATAATTCATCCACTTTCGGAACTGACAGAACTCCAATTTGGAATAAGTTATTTTACCAAGAGCTTTATAGAGCTTCATTCAATTTGAATAAATTCTTCCTTTACACATGGGCTATTGTATGCTGCGTTGTTTCTGGTCTGAAGTGGCCACTTTGAGCGCAGCAGCATGGAGGCAGTCCGTCCTTCAGGTTAGTTGGGCTATACAGTCAAAAACCAACCAACCAGACAAACAAAACTCCCCCCAACTTCCAAAAACCTTCAAGGTAAAAATCTTCAAGGTAGACAAGGCCTAAAGCTATTTTTAGTTCCACATATGCTTTGTTTTGTATTTAATTAAGAAAATAATACTTTTTAAACAGATTTCCCTTAAAAATGACAAACAGACTTACTTTCTTGAGTATTCCTCCTGTGCTGGATAAACTGCATACGTATTTATCAAGAAATGGTAAAGTGCTTCTTTGTAATGGAAATGAATCTTCTTTTTGATCTGGTTCTTCATTTCCCTCTGTTTTAGCAGGAGGTTACAGATTACTAACAGTTCTTGGGAGTTCAGTATTGCAGTGTGAATAAGGGTTAAATTATCCAGCTCCTTGAGCAGAAGACATTATGCCTAAATTTCTACCCAGTAACAAATTCATCTTTTACTGCTGAATTTTCTATAATAGTGTGTTAAGTTATTTTTATAAACTCAAACATAACTGAAGGATTTTTGAACATGTTTTATGTGGTATCAGAACAATCTGTGGTGTTATTTTTCTGGCCAGTTCATTGAATAAATGCAATATTGCACAAACAGGTGCTCAGTTTGATGGATCTTTCAAGCAAAGAAATAAGGTGATAGCAAGAAGACTCTTTTTTTTAAGGCCAGAAGAGGCCACTTGGATAAACCTAGTTGTAACTGTTTAATCTTTTGAGTTTTGAAGGTACATATTGCTCTGAAAACTGGGTTTGGGGGTTTTTTTGGTGCACGTTTTTTTTTGCATGTTAAAGATATACAAAGGATTTACTTAAGGAATGAATTAGGGATCCAACTTTAATATTTAACAGTGTTTGTACTAGCTGCCATATATATAACTTCAAAAAAAACAGGAGTACAGTTTCATGAGCTGTTCAGCTATGTAGTTGTTCATATTTAAGCACAGGGATCGCAATGTTTTCAAAGATGTCTGTAAGGAAGTCAGACCCTGGAGTGTAGGAATTATGGTAGGTATGAGCTTGGCTTCACAAGGTTGGACCATATACGTATCTGTCCTTTTTCACGGATCATGTCCTCATTAATAATGTGCACTTTCTAAACTAGTGACATTTTTATAATTTATTGGGGAGGAGGTTTCTTTCATTTTCACTTAAATTTAAAACTGTGAGTTGGTTTTGTTTTGGGAGTTCTTTTTTTGTTTGTTTTTTTTTTTTTCTAACTAAGGTTTCTTCTTGTTTCTCCTAGAAGGAAAACATTTTCTGGTGTGTGTTTCAGTATCATCTCTGCATGATGATGCATATATGATATGATAACATCACAAAAGGCTGTTTTAATTGCCAAAGCCAAGTATTTAATGTTTGTATCAAATTAAGCATACATTTGGTCATGCATGCTTTGGAAATATATGCTAGAAAATGTAACATAGTAACCAGTATTTATATTCAGCCCATTTTCTATTCTTTATTAATTATTAACATTTTTTGGAACTCGTACCAGAGTGCAAATCAAAATCTGTCTAAGATATTTCAGATAAAAATGCAGACGATCACCACTTTTCATAAACTTTAGCAGAGAATTAGAGTTCACTGGCAGCTCCGAGAGTGACTGTTTTTAGGGGGGTTTTTGCTCTCCCCTTCCCCCCACCCCAACTGATCACTCCCCTTTTACCCTTCTCACTCTTGATGTGATTTATTGGGGCAATCCTAACTTTCCTGTGAATCTTGTATACAAACTAGCATCCTGCCCTCCCTTCTTCAAGACCTGTTGCCTGCCCAGAGTCCCGGTGCAGGAGACTCCAGTTGTGAAGTCCCCTGATGGAGCAGGGCTGGTTTCAGGTAAGGTGGATCTCATGAAGATGCCATGGGTGCTGGAGGTTGCCTGGTAGGAGAGGTGGTGTGCTGTTGCTGTACCTGCTGGGAAGACATCGCACTGTTCATGATGGTGTCTCCGGCCATGACATGCCACCCTGGTGTGACCCTTGCTCTGTGATGCCACACATCAGCTGGGGGATTGCTGTGTAGGAGAAAAGCTGTGATTGTGCGCTGCTAATGTGTGCCATGTTGATGCGAGGGTGTGAAGAAAGTGCTAGATGACTGAATGACTGAATATTTATGTAAAACTTGATAGACGCCTTTCGGGTCAAAATATGGTTTGAATCCATATTTGTGGTGAAAAGAGTAAAGTTTCAGGATCCCTTCCTCTCTGAAGACTGGCTCTTCTGATTGCCCTGGAAATCAATGCCCCTTTTCCCATTGCCCTGCAATTCAATGCCTTGGGATAGCTACTGGGGATAGTTTATAGTCCAAAACGGTTACCCTTTGAGAAAGGGCTTCCTGGGGTCCAGCCTGTCCTTATGAACAAAGAAAACAGCTTTTCTAAATGGTAAGATTTACCAATCTTTCTGAGACTGGAGCTCAGTCCCTGCCTCTTGATTGTATCTCATATGCTCACTTGTTACCCAGCATCTACCTGTGGCACCTCCATGGCTCTTTTGCTGAAGTAAAATAAATAATTAAAACAGTATTTAAAAAAAAAAATTAAAAGCTAGAAGGTAGGTGGAGGTGGGAGGGAGGGATTGGTGGTAGCTGTTGAAGTTGTTTGAATCCAGTCCTTGGTAAATGTTTTTGGAGGAAAGAGGAAAAAGGCATCTTGTGACAATTTGGTTTTCTCAGGGAGCTTGTTTTAGACCTTGGGAGAACGGAACATGGCTACAGAGGTGACCAAATCATTTTTAGGAAAAACAAAAAGTGCAAATAAGTGCTTGAATGCACTAAGGGATGGAAGAGGAGAAAAGCTGGGCCTCTGGCAAAGTAGGGGGAGTAAGAGGAGGCAATTGGCTGAGGAAAGGTGGTGGGAGCTTGGGCCTGGGAAGGAGGCACGATTTCAGGCTGTGGGAGGAAGGACATCAGAGGTGGAGCAGCGGAGACAATGATGAGATCACGGATGAGATGAAAAGCAGGACTGAGGCTGGGTGCATGCGTCATCCCCATGTCTTCATCTGTGTGTTTTTGTGATCTTAGGGCCTTGATGCTGCTCTCTTTCCAAACTTGCCTTTGCCTCTCCCTCCAAAGGAACCCTCTGAATGCATCTCCCTTCCCCAGGGCAGTTACCTTCCATATGGGCTGATGTGAGACTCCTCGCTTGCCCCATATGGGCTGATGTGAGACTCCTCGCTTGCCCCATACGGGCTGATGCGAGACTCCTTGCTTGCCAAGGTCTATTAGGCCTCCAAAGAGAAACCTATAAAAACCAAAAGAGATGATACTAAGGAATGTGCCGCACTGTTAGTCTCCCTTCTGCATACATGAAACAGGAAAAGAGATTTCAGTCCCGGAGGCGTTGGTTGGGCCAGCACAGGCGTCCCTGGTATGGGGCCACTGGTGGGGAAGTGGGTGAGGAGCAGGGGCCTGGGCGTTCATCAGGGAAAGCATTGCCTCAGGCTGTGGGTGAGGTGGAAGGTTTGGAGGTGGGGAGAGGTGAAGGCATCGCAAAAGCACGTGGTAAAACGTGCACCTCCGTGCCAGGCACGGCATGTGGCGTAACTCTTGCTCGGCCCCGTGGCAGGCAGGGGGTCGCCCCGCCGCAGGAGCCGTGTGCCCGGGATGCGGGACACTGCCAGTGGCGATG